CTCTCTTATCAGCTGGACGCTTCACTCTCTAGTCCTCTGTGGCTATGTCACTGACTCTGGGCCCAAGAGTCCCCAGGTCTTGCCACACTGCTGGCCAATCAGGTCTCCACCTGGGTTCACAGGAGTCTGTTGAACGTTCTAGGGCTTAGCTCGCAGCTTCATTGCTGTTTTCCCCTCACTTCCTCTTATCCGTGACTAACGTGGTCACCAATCAGGGAGTATATTCCCATTGAGTCTTATAGTCTTGGGATGTCCAATATATTTTTAAAAGAGGTCATTGCCAAGCAGCAATTTATACAACATTCTAATTGCCTCTGTTAAAAACCAAGTTTTTATATATATAAAAATTGAGTTTGCCTCTTGGTACTTTTAACAGTTCATCATTTTGTTTTGTTTAGAAGGTTGAGCCTTAGTGTGGTAGAAGTATGGTAGATTGTTGTTAAAATAAATTGTATGAAATAAAGTATTCCTTACAGTGTTTTCTCTGGGATTACCTGAGAGGGATAAATAGTTATCTCGATTAGTAGGACTAAATTAGGTCCTCTCATGCCTTTCATGATGTTAGACAGTGATTTTTGTCTTATGTGTGAGAGTGTAATGTGTTGAAAAGTCAGTAACTTTTCTGTTAAAATCAACCTGTTTTCTGCACTCTTACTAAATGCTTAGCACGGTGCTGTGGAGAATCTAAAAATATTACGTGGTTCCAGGTCTTAAAACATGTAATCAATCCTGGTGACTAGAATTCTTTTGGTATCATTATTGTAAGTTAAATTGAATTGTGCACATTGGGTTAATGTTTCCATGGCATATACTGCTAATCTCATATGCCTAACTGTTGCCCCTCCACCTGACCTTCGTTCCAACTCTGTTTTTAACAGTTTTCTTTGTATTTCTGATTGTTTTATGACAGTGGGACACAGCAGGCCAAGAAAGATTTCGAACAATCACGTCCAGTTATTACAGAGGAGCCCATGGCATCATAGTTGTGTATGATGTAACAGACCAGGTAAGTTCCAAGTGTTAGGCAACAAAGCAGAGAGTTACTGTTTGATACATGTCAGGTTCTTTATCTTTACTTTTAAGCCATCAGTATTGTTGTTTATATAGCAGAAAACTTTGTCCATGCAATATATAAATGAATCACACAAAACCATTTGTATAAATAATGGATTGGTCAACCCAAACTTTATATTTTTCTTTTTTAAGTAGAAAGCTTAGTAATGAGTTTACATTTGCTTTTTCTTTTTTAAATGTTTTTATTTGTGGATTGAGTGAGAGTTTACAGGGCAGATAATCAGTGTTACATTCAACAAATTCATACACCTTGTTTCATTACAATGATTATAATCCCCTCCAAGTACCATCAGTTAACAGTATTTCTCTCTATTCACTTTACCTTTATTTAAAAAAACAAACACACATTCAGGCACATATAATAATATACACCTCCAAAGGGCACATTCTGCAAGTCTGCTCCTGGCCACCAGCTCTTAGATCCTCTCTTCCCATGAATCTAGAGTCCTTAGCCACTCTCCAACTCCATGGCCCCAACTCTACCTCCATCTCTGGCATCACTGCATCACTTGATAAGGTCCCGCATTCTGCTTGTGCACTTCTCCCTTGATGGTCCTAGGTTCCTCTGTTTCTGGACTGTAAGATTAACCACTCTCCTGTTTTTGTTACAAAACTTCTACCTTTATAATTGTGACAGTCGCAGTTATTCATGATAACAATTATTCACTATTGAATCATACGAATCTTATCCC